TATAACTGATGTTTTTTTCTGCAGTATGCACCATGTTGAGATGCAGCGAAATCGTCCTGGCCATAAAACGTGCAGTTTGGTCTTTTCTTTTGAAATACCAAAGTGTCATAAATCTTGACTTAAGTATGCCAATTATAAAGTGGAACAAAATAACGTTTCATCCGGTTGTTTATTGTACCGAAACTCACCGGGTAATTTGTGTATGGTTCCAGAAAATTGAGTTGTATCTGTTGTTTCGGCCGTATTCCAATCATCGGGATGAATGTCCGATGAATTGATTACTGATACATCAATTGGTTCTCTGAATTTATCAATCGGGAAATAATAACAAGGAGATTCAGTGAAGGGATTGCATGGAAAACGGTGCAAGCATACGACAGTTTGAGAAAGACACAGCAAAAACAAAGGTACACAAAACAGTTGATCCCCATGGTTGCGTAACGCAAAAACCAGGGTTTAAGGCGTGGCAACTCGACTCCGGTTGTCCTCGCGGTGCCAAAAGTATAATAAACCATCGATCCATTTAATGGGCGAAAATGCGATAAAACGTGCACACACACTATGTGGAACAGCAGTTCAGTTCCGCATCAATTATTCCAACCATTACTGAGAGTTGCTGTGTGAAGATTTTATTTTTTTTCGGCTACCAATTACTTTACTTTACTTTCCTGCGTCTGATTCCTTGAAAAGGATAAGCCGGCTCCAGACATGATCATGATCAAGATCATCGAGTTCCTCGGGAGTTTGGTACGAGAGACGTCCCCAGCGTCACTCGGCGTTTTTTACTTTGAGGGCGCACCTCTAGCCTTTGTACAACCAAGTGCAAACTGCTAGGCAGCAGGAAGTAAGCCCTCGCCTCGGAAGTGAAGGGGTCAATGGCTTTCGTTTTAAAAGGCCAGTCACATCGACCTTTGTCGCGACATCCTCATTGGGCTTATGTAGCTTTTAAACAGGAGCCGGGTGACCAACCCGAAACCCACCACACCCTGGCAGTGCCGCCGCTGTTGGTCCGCGACTGCTTATTTGTTGCGGTATGTCACAACTTATTCACAGCTAACCTTCGGTGAAGGTATCCCCCTATCCACAATCCAGGGACATGCCTGGTAGGATTCATCTCTGCTTATTTTGAGGGTATCCTATCGAGTCGAGCAATGATGAGGAAGTATATCGAAGAGTTGAAAACGAAGGGCATCATCAAAGTAAAGATTCATAAAGAGAGTACACCAGATTTGCACAAGCGCAACTATTGACAGCACTCAGTTTATCATTCAGCGTTTCCAACCATTGATCACGTGGTCCCCACAAAAGTAAGTTTGGTTAAACCAAGTGGAAGGAGTCGCCGATCTCGAGTTTTCATCCACCCACTATACGCCTCCGTAAGCGTTGCACAACGAGAAATTGTTTCCGGTGACATAAGTAACATATGTCCAAACCAGCATAACCTATGGAAGTCAAGCACCGTTGTCGGTTTGATAGCGATTATCTAATCAGGCAATAATCGCCTCACAATCGCTTGCCCAGTTATTCCCTTGAACAAGCGCGGTCTAGTGTTGACAGCGGTCCTTGCACAAAAGTGAATAAAGTAAAAGAGATTACCCCTTAAATCCATGGGTTTACTTTACGTGGCAGTGTAAAGATGAAAATGATGGTCTTTGGAGGGAAGACAAAAAGAGGATACGTATTCCAAAGTATTGTTATGTTCGGGAAAAGAGATTATGGGAGTTAGAAGGAAGGTATATGATTGTAGCCTCTTGATATAAACAACTAGCCACTTGTGCACGAAACTCGCAAGGAAAAGCGAGTAGACAGGGGTGGAACACGTTACAGAAGAAGTAAAACAGCAGTAGTGGAATGAAGATGAGGAAGCGACTCCTGGACAAGGAGCTACTAGTTGAATGCAAGTAAGGGCCGGGTCAGTCATGAGGTGAGCGGTATTGAATTGAAACGAATCAAGTTGAATGAGAGCAGTAGACGAAGATCCACTCCAAACAAGATTGCAGTGTTGGAGTGTAGAGAAAATCTGCGAATGGCGACGTGATTGGTTTGTTTGAACGAGACAATTCATTGTGCACGCCACTGAGGAAGAGGCAAGTGAAAATAACATCGAAATGTGAATTCAAGAAGAGAGTGAAAGGAAGGTAATCAATTATAATGCTGACGGCAGAAAGTATCTAGCCGTGCGAGATGCAAGTATTCAACTGAGTGCTCGAGTAAGTGATCTGTATGTGTTCTGTCAGTGAAATGCCGGATTCGATCCTGCGTTGGGTTGATGGGTTCGCACTGCTGATGAGACCCAAACAGGTCGAAACGGTTGTCCAGTACTTCCTAGTTTCCAAATCATACTTGATTTGCCCTGTACAAAATGAAATTCACCACATGTTCAAACCAAATCTTCCACTCATCCCATGTAGAAGATAATCCATGACCATAACACTTAAAAATTTATCAAGCCTCGAAAGAGCAACAGAAAGAACAGTATCAACTTTGTGGCCATATAGAATCAAGGTGGTGTAGAAAACCAACGACAGTTCCAGGACACAACATTCAGCGTTAAAGACAGGTCAGTAAAATGCTATCTACCGAATTCACCGCAACAACTATAGCACACTCGAAGTTGGAATTACAGAAAATCGTGAGTATCTAACTTTCGGATCACAAAATGCTCTTCCTCGAATTCAGTTACCTTGAAGATTAACCATCCGAACAAGGGAGCAGGGGAAGTAGAGTTGGTCGGATATAAAAGAAACCGATGCGTTTAAGAATCAAGTGAAATCCATAAGGATAGAAATAGATTGGTAAGAAGGATTGCAGTTAATAGATTGTCGTCTGTGTCTCCCTTCGTTGCTGTCAAGCCCGATTGGACTGACAGACTATCTCTGAAGACGACACCTGAGCAAACATGAATTGGGTAATTCGATTCAGTCATAGCATGAGCTAGTTGGCAGTGGGAACACACGCCTTCCATGCGATGGGTCCGGAGTTCAAATCCCGGACGGGACGGTGGATATGTACTACTGATGAGCTCTAATAAGAGCGAAAATCGAGTCTAGTGTTTCCGAGTGTGTGGTTGAATCAATGAACTGACGAGTGTGCGTGAAGGCGAAGTCTGAAGGATGGTCAGTCCTAATCAATTATCCAATATAATAAAGAACTGCGATAATCAACATATAAACCGATACCGGCGAGAAATACACAACCGGAAACACAATTTTGACCTTGGATTCACGCAGATGGATACCTGAATTAGATGCAAGATAACCAGATATCTCTTATATCGTGCATAGAACCGGGAAAGAATACCCAAACTGAATTTCATAGATTACTTACGAAATTATTGGACGCTAACTAGTATTTTCGAAGAGCACACCACAACCAAAATCAAGCAGGGTCACAGAACGAGAAGATGTGATGAAGTGAGTGAGTAGTAAATTTGATCATCTGTCATAATAAAATGAATAGTCAACATAGTTGGGGTTGGTTATTTTGTTCACACCAGTCCACATAGTATCACATCCGGTTGAAATATTGATTACCTCAAATTCAGTGCGGATAAAGCTAAGCGGGCCATGTCAATTAAAAGAACACAAATTATGGAATAACAAATTGGAACAATGCAATGAATGATATCTCTTGTGAGGACGGTTAAAGGTCACTGAACATGCAGTTGATCAACCGTGCAAAAAAGGATGATTATTAAAAACAAGGTATGAACCAAGCGAAAAACTCAATGACTTAATAATCATACATTTGTTGGGGTGCGCTTTGATCTTCATTCGAAATATTGTCTCTTAATTTGAGCAACTGAGACAGACTCTTCGACCCATTCGTGTCGGCCACTGAGGTGACCTGTTGCGATTCGACTCGAGGAGACTCAGTGTGCAGTTGTTTGCCAAAAGGTGGAAATTCAGTAGTTTTTTTCCAACCATTGACCTGTATTCGTGTCAAAGATCGTGGACATTTCGGATGCGGATTTGTGTCACGAAGTCCCAGACGAGGTGTCCAAAATGGACCACAGTCTTGGCGTGACGACTTGAACGGTGTGGATTTGTCCGACTGAGTTTGAGCAAATGATTCGAACAGTTCGATAATGCGGCCAACCAAGTTGTTTTTCTGCAGTGTATGACCAAAAATTTAGACTTGCAAACATGTTTATAGGCAAGCATACAGAGAAATGATTATGTATCATAGTTTGGTTTTATGTTGTATGTAATGCGTCTGAACAGGCCAGGCAGATGAACAAGGTGAGAGGAATTTTTGTGAACTCTCACTGATGGCATGCATACAACAAACATTAAACAAAATTGGCAAGCATGAAATAAAAATAATAGTCGTCATTGAGGCCTGGATTCGATTATATGGCAAGTTCGTCGTTCGGAAAGCAAACAAAGTATAAAGCGAAAAGCATTGGACAGATATTTCGCCCTAAAAGAGTCTCATCTGTAGTGCTTTGTAGCTTGTCAGTTCACTCTTCGTTTACTCTATGCACAATGAAATTCATTGTGAAATGTGAAACAATTTACTTTAGTTAAATTTCCAGGGACGTGAAGTTGTGTATCTGTGTGCATGCGATTAGTTACAGACAAGGATCATACGCTTCTGGACACCCACTGTGTGATTATTTCGTTTACAGAGTGATTATCTGTAATGTCACGATCAAGCACCCCTATAAAGTGTCATGCCCCGAATCAATATATGTTTGGCTGTGTCCTCGAAAAGTCCCAATTCCTAAGATTGCAGGCAAACCCGCGTTTTTTCATTAAACAATATTCTTACGGAGTGTGCCTCTTAAAGTATATTCTTCGGAAGTCGTTCCTGCTGCTATCCTGTGATCAGCGACAGAGTGGAAAGCCGAACTCGGATGCTAGGTTTTGGGGTTGCAGGCGAATGGTTCACCTATAATAGCTGGAAATCCTACAAACCTACAAATACGTGATCGGTGAACTGTGTGCAGGGCACTAATTGCAAAGCTTTCGGTTCGATTGCACCAAAAGGTTATCGGGTATCCCGGACTTACGAACCACTTCTAAAGGATGTAAGAACCAAATGACTAGACACTGATCTCCAAGGGGATGCGGTCTACGCATATTGTCCTGCTGTCTCATGAGTTAGGGTTTGGTTAACCAAAGGTTCCGTCGTGAGCATATGTTTGAGAATGACTGAAGAGGATAGTTCTGGAGAACCATAACTGGTGACCGGCACAAACCACGAAAGCGGTCACGTATTAAAAAGAAATTCTGTCCAGTTATCCACACACTATGGAACATAAAACCACAACGAACAGAGCTAAGCTTTCCAATGATATGTGCATTGATTGACCAATTTAATCAAACTGCAACGTCCATATGATGACCACAGTGTCAGAAACCAGCATTAAAAGGCGAGGATCTGAAACTAAAATTTGCACATTTTATCGTCTCCCCCGAGCCGATACGGGAAGTTTCTTATTTGTGAAATCGTCAATTTTCCCCGATCTCTCTTCTTTTTCTATTTCGTTAGAATTCACATTATCCGAAGAGAGTGGAGACGGTACATTTGGTGGAGTGTCGTACACACTGTCAGACCCCCTGACTACGGATCGTTGATCAGATGAACGGACCGCGTCACTTCGGATTGATCGGATACGAAACCGACAAGAGTCACATAGCCATGTGTTCTCAGTTTGAACTGACCGATTGTGAATCCGATCACGGAATTGTGTGGAGAAAGTGAGTTGGGACAAGGCCGAACAACTCGCACTGCGATGTGTTGGTCCTGGCTGATATGCAGTCATCTGACGTGGGCAGCCCGCAGTGACCAATCCGTTTGGAGTCCGGTGAAAACGTCGTCGACTTAATCGACTGGAAGAACGAATGAGATCTGGAGTACCAGTGATCTGAGCATAACTGAGATTGATCGGTGCAGTCCGAGTCAAATGGGAGGCCGGTTTCATTGGCATGTGTTCACAACTGTACCAAGTAGATTCGGTGTATAGGTATGTTTCTCGATTATTGTAATAATACTAATAATACAGTAAGCATTAGAGAAATACCGACACGCATTGTAAATAATACAATCACCAAACGGGGATTCTATCCTAACAAACATGTCACCTTTTGCTTTTATTTTATTCCGAAATACCAAAAAGTCAGCCAAATATACGGTATAATTCCTCAAGATATATTGAATAAAGAAACAGTATTGGGAAAATATAACAATTTTAAACATGACGGTAATGGAACAAAATTTGTAGATGGGTGATTAGGTTCCGCAAACCGGGTTTGTCTAGACCACAAATTGTGGGATCTTGAAGAGTGCCAGTTTAGACAAGTCAAGCTATTAATTTGTGCTCTTCCAAGGTTGAATATTCTGCAAACACGTAACCGTCTTTACCATCATTGCATTCATGCATTTGGTATATCTTTCCTAATCGGCCATAAATTATCATGTTAAATTCGCGTGCCTTGTTTTAGGGTCCTTACACTCAAGTAGTTATTTGCCATCATATGTGATCGGGAAACGCTTTGTTCCGATCCAACTAGAGGACACAGCCGCACCTAGGGATTCAGCCTCGTACCAGAACTGTTTTAGTTGGCCTCCATACCACATCATCACCACACCACCACCATCATCATCATCACTCTCCATTGGTCTATGCTTTGGTTCGAGTGTACGGCAAGATGTCCCCCTTGAACGGATGCACGAGATAACCGAATGCGAGTCTCGGGTGGGCTAGAGCTGTCCACGGACAGGAGATACGCCGTGGAGAGGGTAAACTGACAATCTGTAAGAGAAAGAACAAGGTTCAATCCAAGTGAATAACAAATGGTCAAGGGCGACACACTATCCTTCCCCGCAGAAGAACACTAATCTCGGTGTTCCGGAGCCCCGTGTTGCTAAGGCCAAGCATCCTGGCAGGGTCGCCAGTTCTGCCCGGTGCCATCTGCCCCTCCCTTGGCTTCCCCGTGTGGCGCTGCGTGTGCAGTCTGAAGTTTTAACACTACGTCACAATGAGCTCAATCAGCTCTGTAAGCCTTCTACTCGCATTTTCTTATTCGCTCCATTTTATCCATTGCTGTCGCATTGTTATACTTGTTCGGAGTTTCCATTACATTTTTAATTAATGTTTCTGTTTCGTTATAAACAATTCACGTCTTTATTCTCACCGATAAAGGATAATCGTTTCATAGATTAATTTCGATGACTGAGGTAGATGGTTTAACCCATCATGCCAGAGAGGATTCTCCGGGGATGAGGGGTAGTGAGTTCTGACAACCAAATTTCTTCATTTGTTTTGCTTTCGGAGGGGGGAGGAGGCAGATAGGGAAATGACAAACGGATGCTCTTTTTTCTGTCTTGGTCAGGATATCTCTGCTCATCGACTTATACAGGCGGTCCCGAACACAGCAAAGGATGCGAACTCGGAGTGTACGTTCTTGAGTAATTTGACTTCGGAGGGGCTAAAAGGATACCGCTTGTAACAGATCGTTACGAATATCGCCTAGTTATTTGTTTCTGAGATGGACAGTTGCTGGAATAATCTTAAAAGAGGTCAGGCTATAATCTGGAAGCGTGGCACCACAAAAACAAACTTAGGGAGGATCGATTTGGCACAAGCATAGCCTGTACCGTTCAGTGATCCCGTTTTCTCTTTAAGGCTTGTGACACATGAATCATTTCATAAATTATCAAGAACAGGATGAATCGCGGTTTGTCGTCCGCTCGGAGTGTTAGTAAAAAGATCACATATTTAGAGCCAACTTTGTATCAGTTATAAATGCTAAGGTGTCCTAGGTCGTTGTCCCGGTGGCGCAATGGANCGCGTCGGACTTCTAATCCGGAGGTTGTGGGTTCGAGTCCCATCCGGGACGGCAGTCTTTTGATCGTTAACAATATTACGGTAATGGAGCGGTACACCGCCCGAGACGTATAAACAATCAGTGTCATAGGATCGTCCGTTCCTTCAGCCAGGCTATATACTTGAGATTGTAAGGAATCATCGCCGATGGCTCTTTGTCAATGATGTAGACATTTCGTGTGCCCATACAGACTGAAGGTCACCGTTAGCGCTTACTTGCGCGACAAAGCCGCCAGAGATAATGGAGCCACTATGACTGGTGGATTGTACATAGTTTTGTGAAGGGAATTCGACCGCTGAAACAAACCAGCCGATTTGGGTGTCTCCATCCCACGTGAATTGCCATCCACAACTGAATCTGTTCGCCAGCCAACGGATAAGGTTTGCGAACGACGCACATGCCTTCGCGGTTGCGGAGCGGACAAGATTCGTCGAGGGACAAGATCAGGCGGTACATCAACCCCCTCGGGGACACGAGGTACAGCGGCCAGTTCCACATATTCCGTACGGGACAATTTCACAGTTTTGGATTTACGCACAGAACTGCGTTGCAAACAGCTGGGCAACGGGGTCATAGGTTGCTTGCCATTCTCCGAACTGGGTGCTTCAGCTCGACAGAACGGAGTATTGATCATGGTAGATTTCTCGTCGAAAATCGATAATCCATCAGAAGTGTCCGTTCCGTTTGGAGTTGATCCCGTCATTCGTTTCCGTTTGAGCCATTCATTTATGAAAGGATAGAATCGTGTGAGCTTTGAACGAGCACTTTCCTGTTTATTCGAAATCATTTTTTCGTTCTCTGTTGGAAACAAGAATAGGGTACGGTAAATAATCAGCTTTAAACACTTACGCACGCAAAAGGAGAATGACATTTATCTTCGGCGACTAATAAGTCAAATAATATTTTGATGCAGCCATTAATTATTAGAATTGCATGGTTGTGCGAATTTCACAGGGTTTGGTAGAAAACCTGTGTCTTGGGAAATCCATTCGACTGGGACTAAAGGTTAAGGTCAATTTCATTTTATCACTGCAACAAAATGAAACTTACAGCGGAATAACAAATTATGCTTTCGGTACTCACCATCATGCGTAAGCAATGACAGTAAGCACCGTGATGTCGGACAAATGAACACGTCACATGAACCAAGCCCCAAAAGGGATAAGGTGGAGAAAAGTCAAAAGCCTCAGTCAACCATGACCAGTGAACAGGTAATTTCTGAATGAGTACCCGAAATAATTAATAATAATTTATGCCATTCTTTTATCGACGTATTGGGATTTTTCAAGAGTACCAAATCTATGAACACCACGGTTTGCGAAATATTCCCATGGTTACATGAAGTAAAATCGAACTACAAAAACTTATTGACATAGTGCATCAGGCATCTATATAAATCTGCTTTGATCGGTAGCAGGATTATAGGATGGCAATCATTAATGGTGTGGTCAGTGTGTACGTGCATTACGCTCGACTGGTTAACAAAAGCCAGTGAAATCAAAGGAACGGTTTGAAATGCTGATTGACATCGTTCTCATTGACAGGGTTGATCAAATCGGTTTGACCCCACTAATCCCACCTTCAATTCACATTATTCACTCACGAACCCAATCACTTCCTCGAACTCCGGCCTTCTCTTCCTCCTCTCCAATAGCTAGAAAATCCTCACTCATTCATTCGATCTCTCTTTTTCTAATCACCAGTATTGCCTAGTCGGATTAAACCGTCTTATTTTGTTGTCTTCTGGTCTAAATTACGTATATCTTCGTCTCACAGCAAACTAAGCACTCATTCACCGACCCACCACCAACTCGGTGTTTGCCACGGTTATTTGCCATCTCCTCTCCCTTCCTGCAGACGCACACTTTTCCTACCATGCCATTCATCTGACAGGTGAATGTTTTTGGGTGTCCGTCTGTCTTGTTGCGTGAATCCGTTACGCCAATCTCGTTCTTTTTTAAATTCTGCCAAACTCAAGAATGCAACCCTTCTGATGTGTTTCTAAACTTAGAAGATGACATATGGCAAGCAAGATAGAAACATTTTGCATAGGTTCTATTCGGAGAATAACAGTTGAAATCGGAGTAGAGATATCCCGACTCAGGTGTGATACAAATGCGAGAAAATGAACGATAGGTTGAACTGTTTGGAACAAGTTTAACATCAGACCTATATTCCATATTCTATTCTATTCTATATTCTCTATCTAAGTCATGCATTGGCACACCAAAATCCTTGGTGTTCATGCACTCTTCACTTGGTCCACTTATTGCACTTTCATATCGCAATGACTCCCTTCCCCTTGTCTCACACACTTCTTTACGCCGTCCCAATCAATGCTCTTTCTTCGTTTGACATTTCGTGTTGAAAAACGACATTTTAGAACACAGAACAAATGCATATTTAAGCGTATAAAGTGAAATGTAATCGGAAATAACTACGACTTACCCAAAGTTTTTCTGAGAGTGTCAGTTTTAGAAGGATCGTCACACTGCCCAGGTAATCCGCTCAATACTAAGTGTTCGCAGTCTGTTCGGGGAAAATTTGTGTTCTCGTTGGATTTTACCTCCACCATGGGGGCAATGTGAACACTGTCGCTACAGGTTACACTTGTATTGGATACACATGAACTGGAAAAAGAATCGTGTATGGTACAAATTCGTGTGATAGGGGTCAGCAACAATCATCCAAGTGATAGCATCAGAATAGCTGTTACTGATTTTCAATTTTAATTACTCATAAGTAGTGTAATTCTTTCTGGAGTTTTTATATCTGAAAAATTGTGCTAGTGTCTGCATCGTAATTGCACATATGACGTCGAGGGCTGGATTCGTTGGCCAGGCCCCAGATGTATGAAACATTCCGTACAGGCACTGTGACATCAGGTTGACGAGACAGAACATCTGCTAATTATCATTCACAATTGGTTGTTTTCCTATACATGTGAGTAGTGCTGTGGAGAGCCTTAAATTCCAAATGCCATTTGTAGACGATGGTCAAGTGCCCACGAGAAAACCCGGGTCATCCGTAGCAAAACATCCAATGAAAACAAGACACACGGTTGACCCTAATTTGGCAATTAGTGAAGCGTTGCTTATTCGATCTCATCAACCGATTTTATGTGCACAAAAGTTATTGATACAACTAATCCTTTTTACCGTGAAGTTGACCCTCTGCTTCTATATTTGGTAATACTTATATCATTATACACATTCATTCACCATAATAGATCAACCCGATGTCCTACACAAGTGCCGACTTTGTTTGCGTCAGTGACAGAGGCGATTAAACGGAATGGCAACACTTCGCGATATTTATCTTCATTCGTATTACTGAAATAGATAAAGAGGACTCAGTGTGTTAAAATTCTAAAACGAAGCCATCTTTTAAGTTTACGCATTCATTCAGTACCGCTATATTTACAGTTTATTCATACACGTTAAACTAGCAGTTACTTATGAGCAGCGGTGGAGGACAGGTGATATGGATTTGAAATGACCAGTCTTCAGACTTGATCTTCAAGTAAACTCTGCAGCTCATCCAGTTAGTCAACCACCCCGGAAGCACTGTTACTTTACAACATCACGTGGAACCGTTGTAAACTCAAGTAAGTGAATGCACCAATCGCATTCCACTCGGGTCCGACTGTTGATCACATTGTTGCGTAATTTCTCGTCTCGAATCGTTGAAAGCATTTGATTGGGTAGATCAGAAAATTTTGTAACGGAAGCTCTATAATTATGACATTCGAGATTTTGCGTTTGATTGCATTAGTGCATTCTTTCGATAACGGATCAGTTCTTGTTTCTGATTCCATATCCGGATCAATCAAAGTCACCTGCGGTGTTCCACAAGGGTATGTACTAGGTCCCCGTCTTTTCCTGGCACATATAAATGATCTACCGAATGTGTTAGGCCCAAAAACTACTGCTGCAGACCGCGCCAAAATCTGGAATACAGTAACAGAGCCCGATGGCTCTCTAACACTTCAAGAAACACTTAACACAGCTTATCAATGGTCTAAGCAGAATGACATTGAATTCAATGTTCCTAAATGCAGAGTCCTGTCTCTAAGCCACAACAGAAGATTCTCGTATTTCCTCGGGACTCAGCAGCTACTACATACTTCAAATGAATAGGACTTAGGTATTGTTCAAGAGGATTTAAGCTGCTCGATTAGTTACGCTAAGGCCTCGCCCGCTGCTGTGAGGAATGTTGGCAAGTCCTTGGCAGGTTTGAATCATCACTGTTCCCACGTTTACTATCAGTGTATATTTGACAGAGTGCGACATCCAACGTGATCATATGATGCTAGAACGTCCACAAAGGATTGCCACCAAGATGGTCAAGGGATTGAGGAGAGATAATGATCATTGGGACTATATTCTGCTCAGTACTGACGAAATCGGGGAGACTTGTTTTTGCGTATCAAATGCTGCAGAACCCAAACCATCCATTTCGGCCGCTGCTCACGGGGTCGAACAGTATACACCTTGTGGATACCGTTTCAAGTTACTGATTCCAAAGTGTCGATTGGAATACCGGCGCCAATCTTTTCAGTCGCACTATGCACTTCGTGAAACACTCTTCCATCTCACGTCGTATGCGCACCAACTATTGAATTTTTTAAGCGGAGACTCAATGAAACCCTGGTACACTTCGCATTCCTACACAACTACAAATAAAAGCAAATTCGTTGAATAATGCATTATCTGTTATCTCCTACTTGGAACTCAATGTGACAATGGATTTTTTGGCCGAGAAATGAGTTAACTGTGCAAATATCCTATGGAGATACGAGAAGTATGAGCTTGTAAGTAATTCCTATAATAAAACTTTCACTTTGACACAGATTGGCTACGTTGTTTCTCGACAACGCGCACTGAGCCAAAAAATATGCAACCCCTATTACTGGATACACACAGCAATGTGCTCAGAGTTGATGATCGCTGTTGAGTTGAGTAGCCTAAATCAAGCTTTCAAGAAAACTAGTGATCACAAAATAATACGATTGTACAATGCGCTCTAGAAAAATAGAAAATTCCGGTCCGGCACTATATTATCACTATGAGACATTGGGGAAGCATTGTTGCAGCCAATAATGCGTTGACAAGGGGCCGTACGACAAATCAGATGACTACAAAATGTACCTCCAAACAGCTTTCATCCGTTCTAGTTTCATTCGATTCGGTAAAAAATGGAAGTAAGAACAAAGGCTTATTTAGGATTAGTATTTTCGTATCTGAATGTCGGTCCACGGCAGTATCATGGGAGGTACAGTTTTTGGATGTAATTTGGCTAAAGGTTGATCGACGCAAAGTTAATGTTGGCAACTTTTACTTTTGTAGTCATCGAGAGTTAGTGCAACAATGGTCCTGTTTTAAGAATATCTGGTTTCAATAAACCTCGGTAAATTGAAGCTCTGCATTTGGAAATAGTCATGGGATTTCCTTCATGGTTGAAAAGTTACACAGCCAATTTCAAGGTGTACAGTGCAATACAACACAATCAATCTCTTCTCTTTCTTGCCAATAAACTCATCGACTTAAATAACTGATTCATTTGCGAGATCCCGGTAAAACCCGAATGACAAATGTATTTTAGTTACATAGAATAGATACATAACGGACACCTTACGGATCGCTAGGTATTGGGTCGGCTCAACAATCTGAGAGTATCACTAGATCCCAGAATGTTGAGTTTCATCCTAAATCCTATTTTCAGATGTGATTTGAAGAATGATGACGTTTCATGAGGTTAGCAATGCACAGTTTCTATCTGGGAGTTTTGCTGTTCTTTATTTCAGAAAACTTGAAGACACTGTCTGGAGGCAGTAAGGCACTAAGAGTTTACGGTCAACTGAGCTGAATGTTACCGGGCGTGAATAGGAGAAAAGGTTTGGTTGTACTGCGGATTTACCTTTGCACCATATTCCCAAGATTCTTTATGATTTGCATCATGGGGACAACCCGTCCTCATGTATGAAAATCGATGATAAAGAATAGAGCAACCGTTGATCGAATATATTACCTATTTTTTGATAAATACCTTTTGATGCACTTGGCAAGAAGTTGTCATCACTTTAAGGCGACAGCTGTTGTTGTCAATCCTGGGGATTACAGTGAAAAAATCGAATTCATGTTATCTAGTATATAAGTTCACAACTGGTCTTCTTATCCAGATGAAATAGTGCTATTTCTTTCACTCTTTCCCAATACTATCTGTTTGAGTGTGACTTTCAGTGCTAGAAGTATGTAGACAATCGGATTTGGTTCAAAAGAATGGCTTTGTAGTCTATATAGAAAACCCCGACTGTTCAGATATCCCAACCGTTATTTAATTCTTTGTCTTTCGGACCCAGCCCTCTCAATGTACTCCTTCTTCGGAACTGTAATAGTCCCTTGAATGTGTAGAAAATTGCCGATCAATATCAAGAAAACCGTGGGTAGAATATTTTACCGACCTCTACTTAATACCCCATGGAGCACGCGATACAGAGTTATCATCGCTTGTAGGATCATCGATAACTAACTCATTCGTATCACCACCTATGTCATTCATTAGATTATAGAGATCGCACAGATGTAATCAGTATGAGAAAAGATGCGACGGATTGATCAGTGATATAATAAGGTAAGAACCTATGCGATGAAGCTACGTAGCGAAGGGAGAAGCCGCAGGTAACAGATTGTTACCATCGGCATTGTGGATTGAATGCATTAATCAGCCAGGGAATGACAGAAAAATATGATTTCTGTCAGCCAGTGAATAGGTTCAAATTCGATCTTACCATTCAGGTGCAATACTGTTATTTCTTTCACTGTATCCTTGTAGTGTCTTGCTAGGTGTGCATTCCAATGCCTGAACTACGTAAGCAATCACATCTGATTCAAAGGAATCGGTTTTATTCGAGAGAAACTCGGCTTCAATGGAAATTACTCATTGGGTAATTGAGGGCTTAGACTGACTCCACTCATCCAATGAATCATGCTCACATTCATGTCTGGGCATGGTGACCGACTTATCGATCCATCTTGACGTGATTCGCTTCCTTATCCGATCGATAGAGGTCAATTACCGCCAGGTTCGTTCATTCGTATCTAAGACGCACACTCGATCAACGATCACGAACCTAACGGTCTCGGGTGGAACGGGTGGGGGGGCGAAGGAGAACGGCCCACCTCACCCCACCCCCCTCCGAAACATTCACCCTCGCTCAATAACTCACTCAAAAAGTACTTTTATTTGATTACGGAGACGGTAGTTCATTTGAACTGGACGGGGCTTAGACAGACTTGGTCCAATCGGTGACATTTGACGGCCGAAACACCAGTAATCTTCTGGGGTTACCGTGGAACTCACTTGAAGTTACAATGGATTCACTTGAAGTTGAAAAGGTATAGTTTCTTTATCCGACCGATCGGGGTAAATTACCGCTTGGTTCGTTCATTCTCGTCCAAAGTCCATTTGATTAACGGTCAGAGCCGTAAAGTTTCCAGGAGGAGGGAAGAGAACAGTCAGACCCCACCCCAAACCAACCTTTATTCTCGATCGGTAACTGACTCAAAATGTACTTTTGTTTGTGTTTGTGGACCTTTCAGTACATCCTGACTGGACGGGGTGTTAATATATCCGGTTGAATAAGTAACGTGCTATCCCCGCAGCACCAATCATTTTGTGGGTCTGCCAATATAATGCGATTGGTGGATAGTTTCATTCGAGAAAACACTGAATCAGATTTCATCATTAGTCTGTAAGCAACCTCTCGATTGGGACTTGATCGCTTATCCTCGCTCTAGGACAGACGGTGCGCTAACACTGTGCCAAACAAGTGAAAAACACTTTCACGTTATTTTAAAATCTTTCTATGCTTAATAATTCCTCCACACCCATCCACCCCCGATGAGAATCGATAGGTAGACACCACCACTGCTCATCAAGTGCAGTACACGAACTATATACCTTATGTATTCCAGTGTCACACCATGGATACATACTGGCTCCCTTACCTGCTACTGACCGTTCCACGTAGTTTATCTACATATTCATTGCATTTGCCGTTTCATTCTATAACTGAAGTGTACTGATCGTTGCTTGAAAGAAATTCTACCCCTACGCTACTGTTCCGCTTGTCTGTTTTCAGGATGACATCAATGCAGTAAAAATCCTTTACATGTACTTCATAGTTTGATCACCCATACAGGTTTATTATTATTATTTTACTATTATACAAAATTAGAACCACGGTTTGCACGATAAATTATTGTCCTTTCACCGGAAATTTTTCACTGCCTGCAAAACAAATACTGCTAGATGTTAACATTTCTTCCAATGTATGCAGTCACTGCAACATAAAACAATCTGGTATTTCTACAAGAAATTTTTGATAACTACAGTGGTTCAAAGGATAATAGTCAGAGATGAGAGGAAATCAGTTCTAGAATCAAAGATCAAAAGAGGGTTTAACATCTCCTGGTATTTATCTTCTCTATGTTTTTACGAACTGCATAAAGGAGACCCAAAATAACCTATTTGTCTGAACTGCGCTCACTTAATCGAACAGATGATTGGGACAAAAATCTTGACTTAATTCAATGGTGCCTCATTAATTTCCTAATTGGATATTTCTGTGACGTTATTAGTGCCGGTAAAAGAGCTTGATTACGTTGCGGAGGCAAGTGTTCGGAACCAGCTCCGGCTGTCACAAATATAATATTATATCAGGATAAAGTAAACTATTGAAAATACCCTGGAAATCCCGTTGCAAATACACAGAATCGGTGACAAAAAAGAAAAAAAGAATACTCATTAAATGCAACGTTCTAATTCAGGCGAAACACACGCAAATATCATGATACGTGAATACCACTTCTTTAAGGCAATCCATACAAAACTCTCCCTATCACGTACAGGATAGCTTATTGCAAAATGTAATCCGAAATTTTCGAAGTCGGTACAGAAACTCACCCGGACAAAGTATCACGTGCAGATGACACCGTCGGTTGAATGGAGCGGCCAGTGAAGTGAAAATCACTTCGGCGACTCGAGCTCGCCTGGACAAATCGAGTGAAGTGCGATCCGGTGGATGGAGATGGACTGGATCCACAGTCCAGTGGACTGTCCACAGGCCTCGGTGTCCACGTACCTTGATCAACTTCCGGGCGGTTGTCATTGATCTTCTTCTCAGAAAATGGTGTCGGGTCACGTTTCCGATAAGTGATATATACTTCGTGACTGGATTTGCTGACCGATGAGGACTGGGGTTGACTAGAGTTTCGCATAGACGACAACTGTGGAGGAGAGTATAAATCCAGAATTTCTGCCTCAGTAATAATCCGATAGTCAGATAAAAAGGACTACTGTGTTACATTGATTTGTTTCATCAGTACCATCACATAAAATCACCAACGTTCTACCGGGTAGTAAGCAGTGCAAATTTCTGAGTAATCTCAGCGAAAAGGTAGGCATGAAAACAAAGACGATGGTTGATCGAAAACCGTGATAAGGAAGTTACATTCTAATATGGAACATCAGTGGAAATAAATGGTAACCTCCAAGAAAGAAGCCACCAAAAGCCTCAGCATGTTCGGGAGTGGGGCTCTTGGATTGTGACTAATCCCCTTTTCCTTGCCGCTCCCATACCATCAAGTGCATTAGACAGCCTCATTCGAGAAAGCCCTACTCACTGCCTTCCAATGGAGGTGTTTTCCCACCAAAGTAGGATGACGAATAGCGAACATTCGGAGCGATACCTGAGACGGTGAATCACTAGAAGTTCCCACGGAGGATTTACCTAAAATCCCTGATTTCAAACCAACAAAGAAAAGGTGCATCAAACACACCTTCCTAGTTGTGGCATTCACTGGTTCGATTGAGCATCGAGGTTTATTGGGTACTTTGGGCGTTTGACCCCGACCAAAGGGTGTCTGATCCGAACATCCATCTATTACCGGTTTTTTACACCGTCCGGCTGTCTTGCGGGTCAGGCTTCGGATAATTCTCAAGGAAAATTTGCATGCTTTGGCCAGGGCAACCTGGCGGTATTTCACCCACTGGCAACTCATGGATCATTTTCTTAGATAAGATTACTGGTGCAAAGTCTGGACTCAGAATCAAGTGAAATATTTATATATATTTGATAATAAGTAGTATGTAAATGACTGGACAAAATTCCCCTGGAAGCACACGACCGGTTTCGCGGTTCTCGCCGCTCGTCCGCGTATTCGGTCTATATATAATGGTGTCCTTCGATGTCACATCTCTGTTTACAAACATATCGACGCAATTAGCTCTGGAGAGCACACGGAATCTAATAACAGATGATCCTCGTCTTCCAGAAAGTACATCACTATTAGTGACTGACATCATGGAGCTGCTTGAAACTGCATGGAATCATACCTACAGTTTGACGGAAGGATATATCGACAGGTGAAAGAAACTCCAGTGGGATCACCAATATCTGGTCTACTAGCTGATGCGGTGATGAAACAATTCGAAACCAAGGCATTTGCAGAATACCACCTTCGCCTCTGGGTTCGATATGTTGACGACAACTTTGTGGTGCTACCGGCAGAAAGAATTGAACGATTCCATAATATCCTAAACAAGGTTATGCCAGGGATAGCGAGGAGGAAAACGACATGAAGTTCCCTTTTTTGGACATCCTCGTCATAAGAAAACCAGACGGAAACACAGAAACCACTGTGTACAGAAAACCCACAACGACAGACCAGGTGCTGAACTACGTACGACAACAATCACCCCACGTGTCACCATAAGAGCTGTGTGCACTTTATTCAACCGCGCAGATACAAATTGCAGCATAGAGGAACTTCGGCATCAGGAACGAATGCATCTGTTCCATCAATTCTACACAAACGGACAGCCCGAAAGTTTCGTCCAATCATGCCTCAGGAGAAGAATAAAACCGACGGATGAAGAGAAAAAACAAAACTCTTATTACCATACACACGTGGGATATCAGAAACCGTTGATCGCATCCTTCGCCCTCTGGGTGTCACCATTGCCCACAAACCTACAACAACGCTGCAGTCAATCTTGTTCACAGGCAAGGACTATGTAAAACCACAAGACCAATCAGGGGTGGCGTACGCGATTCTGTACCTAGACTGTGACCAACGTTACGTGGGAGAGACAGACGAACAACTGTACCCTCGCTTACACGAACACACACTTGCACTATGACACGCCGACCCGAAGTCACACCTTTGGAACCAATGTGCAACGACAGGTCACGAGGTCAGAATCAATGACGCAAAAGTAGTGGCAAGGGCAAAGAGGAGGGGGGAACGTCTGATCCTTGAAGTGTTGCTTTCGACCAACTCATTCAATCAACACGTGGAAATCGATAAACATTACGCGACGATTGTACAACCGATGAGGAACGCGGGATTGATGGACAAACAGGCACGACGCAAATCACAGTGTGAGGCACAAACAGACCCAATTCATTCCTACGTATTACCGTTTGACAACGAGTCCTAGTCTGGATCGAAGCGTCACAATAAACACTACCACTCAGTGCTCGTCTTCTCCTTTCAAAATATATACAGTAGATATATATTCGTCACAATAACCTTGTTTGCAACACCGGGTGACCACTGGATAGACAACTCTTTCAGAGCCAGGCCGTTGGAGAATCAATGCTATGATTGGATGTTTTTCAGGTGGGTTAGATGCTACTAACCGCAACAATGTGTGCTTCCAGGGAAATTTTGTCCAGCCATTCACATACTACTTATTGTATTAATATATATATATATATATCAAGTGAGAAACCCCCTGCTATACATGAATGGTGTTATAGTCGGACCGATTGTTCACAGATTATACTGCTGAAACGAAAAACTCGAACAGTCGACGAAAACACGCGAGTACGACAGAGCGCAAAACATTGCCTGGCATGTGACTTTGAATGAACTACCATTGGAGCAACCATACACACACACACAGCGACCCAAATAAACCGTCAGCCGATCGAGGCTACAGTCTTACTGGCCTATGGACTTCCGTTGCACCTAATTAATCAATTGTTCCTCGCCTGAGCCTGTTTCTATATGATAATAACTCCCTCGGTCATTACTCCCAAGTCATGTGCTCGCACTCGTACTGGCTTTTACCAATTAAGGCTAATAGACAACCACTATGATTGATAAGTAAGAGGCATGACCAAAACACTTATTTCCAAACCCTAAGCATCTCGTGCAGACTGGTCATTCTCATTTCGCCGCACCCCAAGAAGCTCTACGAATTTTACCTGGTGTAAACAATTATGAAAAACAGTAATTGTTCCGTATCTCACCAATATCCTCAATAGCGAAAAGAAGATAGCAGGAAATTTTCCTTGCCAATTTGATCTGCAAGTTTAATCATAAAAATACCACAATGGCAAAACGGATATTTAAAAAAAACACTGATGCAGCATCCACTGTACAACTCACCTGAATCGCATGCGTTACCGGAGTCTTCTTTTTCTCATCTTTTCGTACAAAAGTGTCACATGATGGATGGTGATGTGAACACAAACGCAACGGACACGGGATCGGATTGTGAATTGGCGGTTTCGGTGGACGAATTTGATCGTATTCATTCTTCAGCATGGAATTAAATTTTAAAATGAAGATAATTCATAAAAATGACAGATCAAGTGAAAAGGGTGTATCAAATCATTCTGTTTACCGGCCCATTTCCTGTCTCTTTGCTACTGTATGCGATTTGAAAGACAGGGGGAGAAAAAAAAACTGTGGACCTTTACTCTCGGCGAAGAATATCTCGCATGATTGTGAAGTCCGTTATTTGATTACGCAAGATCAAATAATAAAGGTTATTGGAATATCTGTGCGCCATTCCAAAGACAAACTAAGGTTCAAGTGACCCCATTTGAATCATTCCAGAGTTCATCGACTCAAATAAGACAGAGCATTANATTATAAAAAATGAAACTAACTCGGCCCTTTTTCTTCTATGCTACACATGCCAGTCAGATCCTCCGACTTCAAATCCAGCACAGGGATTCCTGTGCGTGGCTGATGCATCCATACACACCCGCATATAGTCCACCTCACATGCTTTTCTCAACCATAACCCAGGAATTCATGTGATTGCTATGCGAGTAGCAGTTTAAGCCAATCGCTGTAGTTTCTATCCAATGTTTGCTAACAAGTTACGATGTATAATGCATTCTAAACCGATAAAAGTGATTGAAGAGTAAATTTCCACTATGATCGCGGGTTACAGAGAACCGGATCAGATTCCATGCACAACAATTTGTGGAGCAAATCAAATTGTATAAAGACAGAGCTGTTGTTCGATTACTCTCTAAACAAAATTAAAAAACGCCTATTTTGCCATCGACGTTGACACTAGTCATTAATCCCTCATCCACCCATCACATGAAAAGCACGTGTTGACCAGCTATCCTGTGAGACACAGTCCACAGTCCCTGGACAGCTGTTTCATCCAGTTTGGGACTCGTCAGCAGTGCGTACTTTTTGTGTCCCTGTTAGGACTCGAAGCGTGAACATTCGGGTTGGGACTTCAAACCCTTACCCAAGAAAATCAAGAGTGCCTGGTGCATCTGAACGATCGAATGGGCTAATCCAAGCTTAAAAGGCTTGTTTGCTGTTTCGTGTTTCCTTAAAAATTGAAGTTTGATTTAATTTGCCTCTCTACTGTTAAAATGCCACGATCAACAATTACAATGAAATTTGTTATCTCATTTTACCGGTTTATATTCACTATTTTGCCACACACGATGCTTATCTCTTGGACGCCTACAATGCTCCCCATGGAAAGAGTACCTGGTTGTTCCAAGCGGTTTGGAAGTGATAACTGTATGGAACTCAAGGTTTTACATTGTTCAATAGCCTTACCCAACTACTTAGGAGCTTGACGCTAACAGCCTTGTGCCACAGTTTAACAATTTTAAAGCATTGCGTAAAAATCATCGTTGGTCAACCCACATCCGCAACTGTATTGGTGAACTGTGGCGCCTATCATTTCAAACGAACAAGTTAAGACAGTATTGAGCTTAGCAGCTATCTGTTTTTACAAACCAGTTTATCATTCTTCAGTTATTTTCTCTGATTTACTTAAACAAGATTTCAAAGTCTAACGCCACATTCTAACGATTATCAGCCGCGTTTCCTCAATTTCTGTTAACGAGTCAGTTGTAAAACTTTCAGTTGATCATGAAACTGCATGTGTTACGTCCATTACACACAGAACTGAGACATTGGCATTCCCATCCCTTCATATGCTACGAATGCCGACAGATGCAATCTCGTATAGGCGTTTACCGAAATTCACCTGTGTCCTACCTTGCACGTTTACTTACAAACAAATAGAGGATAACAAGTGAACTTCGTCTTGACCCTAGACTATTAAATAAGCATAATATTTTTCCCGTGTAATGTCCCGTGTGAATGAAAAAAGCTACAGTATTTGCAAGTTACACAACACACTACATTTTTAACTATAGCGTCCAGCTTTGAACAGTAACAGAATACTCTCAAGCCATAGTGTAGAACCCCCAAGTGATGGAGTTTAACCTTTAAATAATGAGAAAATCTGTACAAAGTCACAGGTGGCTCTAAACAGTGTTGATTCTTTTTACCAAAATACTACCAGAAGGTGAATAAGGTTAGAATAAATTGATCGATACATGACTCACCCAAAACAGATGAATGAGCAACCGGTGAAACTGTTTCATGGGAAGCCGTTCCTCCGGGCGAGACTGAAGTGCAGCTTTCAGTAACATGTCCACACTGGTGATCGGTCCATCAACTAACAAAGGCAATTGATCTGTTGTGCTTGAATTATCATGGTGCTGGGACCAAAGGAATTTCAATAGTTTAGCCAAACTGTATACGTCTGTGACCGGTGAAATCGGGCATGTCCAACGATCCTCCTTGTGCGATTGGCTGTCTGTGGAAGGGATTGGAGTCAGGGTAGAATTGGTATGATCGTGCCATAATTCGGGAGGGAGCCAGTCGGCAAGGAAGTCCGCGGGCAAGTGACTGGCACACAACAGAAGATGTGAAACGCAGTTCTCCAACGCAGACGGTGATAGCTTTCCACGATGCGTCCGACTCAAAGGCGAACGAGAATGGCCGAGAGACGATTGTCTAATGTTCTTTAGCCGATTCCTCTCTATAGAGCATTTATTTGAACTGGGAAGAGAAGA